CCCAAGATCAATGATAACATCTGCGACTTCTTGCGAAACGTCCAGCATATCAACCTGTTTCAAGAGTTTTTTAATGCCATGACAAACATTGATATTGATTTTCAGTACTTGTATCAAGTCAACATCGAAGACCTTTTCCTTGATTTGGCGAAGAAGTTAATTACAAGTTTGGTTAGAGGAGCGGTCACTAGAGGCAGTCTAAGAAGTGGTACTTTTTTCAGACGAACTTACCCTTTCTCTTGTTATGGCTTTGAGGTATCCAACAAGATTGGTTGCTTTCAAGTCATCTAACTCTTCTTGAGAGAGAGCAGTAGGAGTGACATTTGAAGTGATCTCGAGAAAAAGACGCATCGCGACAACCATAAGGCCAGAAAGGTGATATGCTCTTCGTCTGAAACTTCTTCGTCATTCTCGATGTGTTCATCATTAGTATGTTGGGTGAAGGTAGCCTTATGAAATTCGATAGTATTTTCGTCCATGTCCATTGGATCAAAAAATTTCCCACTTGGTCGAAGACCAGCAATGGTAGCAATGTCGAAAAGGGTGGGAGTCATCATTCCATAAGGGAAATGGAAAGTGTTGTGGGAAGCATCCCACATATAGAGTGAAACCACTATCATATTTTGGCTATACTCTAGACCAGATTTCGATAACATCATTAAGTCTTAAATATCTAAATCTTTCCAAAATTGAGATTTCTTCTTCTCAATCTTAGTCAGCCAAGCATAATATGCTTTGGGGTCCTTAGCTAAAGGAGTGGCTCGAAACACTCTAAGAGCATTGATCATGTAATCTAGACCAATAGAGTCATGGATATCCAAAGCGTCAATCGAAGACTTTGCTTGGTCCTTTTCAGACAAAGGTGTAATTATTATAGGAATGTGTTTGCCTTTTTCATCAAGTTTTTTCCTACTAGCCAAGGGCCTAGTGCAATGATAAACAGGAAAAAAAACTCTGAAAGAGTTGCATCATCTATATTAGGGTCAGGAAAATGATCCATGAATATATGCATTTCACCAGAAACTGTCAAGGGTATAAGTACCTAAGATTCATAAATTTCCGTCTTCTCTTCAAGAATGGGAGGTTCTGGGACATATTCTTGGTTCCCTCTTTGTGTGGGTTTGGTAATCTGAGCAATGGGCTGAGAAGCATTTTGTTATTGTTGCTTGAAAGTTTTTGTTGTTTTAGGCGCCATTGTTGAAGTTCTGAGGTTGAGAGATTGAAGATTTGTTGAGGTTTGAAGAAGAAACGTGAGGAATGATGCGGTTTCAGGAAAGATGGGAGTGTAAAAGTGTTGAAATGTTGAAGATTATTGGTATTTATAAGAAGACAACAAACTATTTCATTTTGCATTTGAATGATGAATGTAAAGCGAGTGGGGCACGTGGAGCTTTCTGACGGGACAAAAAAACGGTTGCACAAGTTGCCACCTTACTCCTAGTTTATAGGAGTAATCATCATTAGCAGCTACACACGTCTTGATGAGATGTTTGGAAAATGGTCATTATGACTATGATGTCATGACGCTGTTGGCATTCACGTCGAAAAAGTTCTTCAAAAAATGTCCTTTTCTAAAGTTGTCGAAAATAAACATTTTTTTAGGGCAATTTTTTAGTTGTAATTTTAACGCTCTTACGAATAGAGATTCGAGAGGAATTTGAAAGACCAGTGTTGGGATGATGAAAGCTTATTCCAAGATGAAGTGATAGAAGACACATTTCGACCGAGTCTCCATATGAAGCAGTGCAAGGCGAATGACTTAGCAAATTTTTTGAAGATACTCGAGGCGGGTTTGACAGATATTCAAATGAGGTTGTAACTGATTTTAGCGCTCATCTGATCTTTGAAAGAGATATGTGGGAGCCTGCGAAAGGCTAGAGACATGCAAACAGGGACATGTCATCCTCTAAGAAGAAGACCGTTCATGGTAGTTAGTTTCAAATTATTATATATAGGAGTTTTTATGTTAGAATTTCATGCGTTCACTTCTTTGTACAAATTACTCAAAATAACTAAAAATACCAAGTGTTCGAGAAACGAGTTGCTAAGAATATATATATGAAGCATTAATTTTATATTCAATGTCATTCCTTTTTAATTGAAATCTTTTAAGTTTCTTTTAAGTTTAAATCAAAATTGCCTTATATTCCAGTCTTTATTTTAAAGTATTTTATTACTACTTTCGAAATCACAATCTCTATCGAAGAGATTGATATCGAAACAACTAAGAAATTAAAATATATACTATTGTTCTAGAATTGGAATTCGAAAGACTAACGCTTATTTATTAAATTTCCCGATAAACAAAATGTCAATTAGAAAGAAAAAAAGAATTTTACTTAACTATTTTTTTTTTAAGACTAAAAGCTAGAATGCCTATTAGGTTATAATGCTTAATTTTGCTTGCTTATCAATTTTTAAATGGATAATAATAGCTGCAATGCCAATTAGGCTAAAATGAGAAGAAAAAAAATCACAAAATTTTTGGTGCTGTTGAGAAACTTTAAATGATTTATGTTTATTTAATGAAAGAACAAATTGGCGCCTTTTAAGTTGTCTTGTTTGATTTCTTCATACACTTCTAGAATGCAAAATACACTGTATCTATTAATTAAAATTTAAAAAATCTGATGCAGAAAAAGACTTTTTGAAATCCCTTGAATTGTGTAAATAAACGCATTTTAAATGAAGACTTGAATATATCCTTTAAATCATCTTTATCTGTTGTCAATAATTCTTCTTTCTAAAGAATATGAAACTAATAAATAAATAATGTGTAGGAAGGAAAAATGACGAGGAATAATTTTGATGAATTTGCTATAAGTAATTTGTTGAGTTTTGAGGTTGAAGAAAGAATAATGAAGAACAAATTGTTCAATACATAATCAAATAGAAAATAAAAAAAATATGTATGCAAACAAATCTTACACAGTCAATAAATAATAATTGTTAAATTTTATTTTTACTTTAATTATTAATAAATAAAATTTATGAATGGTTATAATGTATTCATGCCGTAAAACTCTTTATACCAGGAGAGATGACAATTAATCTCAAATAAATATCTCTAATACCATATTAATTTTATGAAGGAGAGGAAGATTGAAAAATATAAAATAAAAATAAAAAATAAATTTATCTTATTGAATTATATTAAAAAGATTATATTAGATTATTAAATAGAATTAAAGATAAATAATTCATTTTTTTATAAGTTAAATAATTAATTTTAATATTTTATAATATAAATATATATTATTAAAAGTTAAATTGTAGCCATAATTATATATTTTTTGTAATAAGATATATCTCAAAAATAATTTAAAATTGCAGTAAATATATACGCGAGAAATCCAACACAAATGTAGTACTAATATAAAGAGTGGTAGAAATATTCTATTTCAATACTCTTTTAAGATACTCTAGTAGATCCCACAGTTAAAAAAGAGAGTATTAAAGAAAAGAAAAAACTGCCACAAACTCCATGTAGATAGTCCGTCATCGTTAGATCATGTCGGGGATAGTACTAATAAAAGAAGAGGTTGTTTTGGCTGCTTCAAACTAAACAAACACTCTGTACCTCTGTCCTCCAATTGTTTTCCACTCTTACATCAGTAATTCATTCTCATATTTTACTCTCTCCGAATCAAAATAAAAATCTTTTAAATTTATTGTATACATATTAAAAAGTAATAAATAAAAAAATAAATATAATATATTTATAAAATCGTTTTTAATAATTATTATTTCTTCAGTCTTATAATATATATTTTTTTTTAAATTTTCACACTTTTTAAAATAATAATTAATTATATTTATTTCAATGATAAAATAAATATTATTTATTAAAATAACCTTATTAATAATAAATAATAAAATAATTATATGATTTAAAATATAATAAATAAATATAAGTTAATGAAAAGAAATAATAAATAATACATTAATATTTCTAAATGAATAGATAATTTATGACAAGTAAAAATAGGAAAGATGATAACTATTGTAAGTGAGACAGAGGGAGTAGTTACTTTTACACGGTTATAAATGCAAAATGAAATTTAATATCTTGAAAGTAATGTATACATACACCTTCTAAATATATTTATAAATAATAATAAATTTTTTGATTTATTGAATAATTGATATATCTGATATATAATAATGATTAGATTTATCATTTATTTAATAAATCTAAAAAAAAGTAAAACGACACTCATTTTATAACAAAATTATTAAGCTAAAAAAACACTTATTTTATTAAAATAATATTCATTTACACTTATAAATTTTTCTTATACATTCAATTAATAGAAAATCAACCATCTATAATATCATTAAAAAAATTTAAAATTAAAAATAAAATATAATTAAATATGTGATTGATTAATAGATATAAAATCATTTTATACTGTTGGTATATAACCTTTTTCTCTTATTTTATTCCGAAGGAGTACTATTTCACAAGAGTTTCACCTTAAAATTTCAGAAAATTTAATATTTCTCCAAAAACCGGCGCGACAAAATAATATCTCGACAATCACAGTTACTGAACACGAAGGATGGTTGTTTAAAACCTGCTCCTCACCTAACATCATTAACACATTAGCAGCCAGATTTGTATTACTTGAATTTAATTTAGCAGTCAAATTTGTATTAGTTGAATTTCAACATCGTATAACAAACGTAGAGATCTATAAATATTATATTTAAGGATCCATCAATATCAACATCACCACTTCTCACTTCTCTCTCTTCTTCATTCTCCAATGGCTACTATCACTTCCTACCTCGCAAATCTCAAAACCACACTTCATTTCTCATCCATTTAATCAAACCACCACCGTTCTCACTTACAACTCAAGCCCACCACCGTCAGAATGACCATGACTCAACAAAATCGCAACCCACGTCTCCTTTGGGCTTCTTTGCATGCCGACATCGAAGCCCATCTCAAATCTTCCATTACACTCAAAGAACCTCTCGAGGTTTTCGAGCCCATGCATCACCTTATTTTCAATGCCCCGAAAACCACCGTACCGGCTTTATGCGTCGCCGCATGCGAGCTTGTCGGCGGTGAACGTCACGAAGCTATATCCGCTGCTTCAGCTTTGTTAATAATGGAGGCAGCTACTTATACTCACGAGCATCTTCCACTCACAGATAGGCCCAAGCCCGAGTTCGGGATGAATCATGTTTATGGGCCTAACGTGGAGCTTCTAACTGGCGATGGAATTGTACCGTTTGGATTTGAACTGTTAGCTAGATCCGACAATGGAGAAAATTCGGAGCGGATCTTGCGGGTGATGGTTGAGATCTCACGGGCTGTGGGCTCAAGAGGGGTCATAGATGCGCAGTACAGGAAAACCATGGATACTAGATCGGACAGTGAGGAGATGTGCCACGTGGAAGAAATCAAACGTGTGGTGGAGAAATATGAAGGTGGGTTTCATTCGTGTGGAGCAGTATGTGGAGGTGTGTTGGGTGGGGGAAGTGAAGAGGAAATTGAGAAATTGAGAAAAATTGGATTGTATGTTGGAATGATTCAAGGCATGGTAAAAAGGGGATTCAACGAAGGTAGAGAAGTGAAGGAGGCAAGAAATTTGGCACTACAAGAATTGAAAATTTTCAAGGATAAAGAGGTTGATGCAATTCAAATTTTATTGAATATATAAATATCTTTGATTATAATGTAATATTCATCATGTCAGGGTATTATTCTATTAATGTTTTTTGGTCAATATATTTCTTCACTGTTCGAATAAGTTGGTAAGACCATCTCCAATGGTTTTTTTTGACTTAGTTTGCCAGAGTAAAATATTAAAAAGCATGATTCTCTGCAAATATTATCATTGGAATTAGTCAAGTTGGCAAACCATAGCTTTATCATGCAACTGATCGTTGATGTACTTTGATAACAAAATAATATATGTGATAAAAAAAAGTTCAAGTCATTTTGTTTCTTTTTATTTCTATTTCAACAATTTATTTACTTGTAAATAAGCTACTAAAATAATAACAAATATAAACTATTAATTAATTTTGTTTTATATTGATAATAATTTAAATAATTTAAATTATTATTTTAAATTAAATAAATCAATATAAATAAAATATTAATATATAAAGTAAAATTGGAGAATCCAATATGAGTTCTTTAAAATTGCACTATTAGAATGAAAAATTAATTAAATTAGTTTAAACTGACTTGACTTAATGAATTCCACAAAGAACTCAAAAGTGGGTTCATAGTTGGAGATGCTCTAATATATTTAAAAGTGCATATGTATTATCGCGAGGATGATAGTATCAATCAATCAATTTTATTTTTAAACAATTTTGATCTTTTATTTTTAATTTTGATTTTAAAAAAATTGTAAAAAAATGCAGAGTTGTAAATATTTTTGTATATGTGGCGTGAAATTTATTATTTTTTATTATCCGGGTTATTTTTTAAATAAATTATTGATTAATATATTTCTAGAAATTTATGTAGAAGTTAATTTAATCAACTTATTATTTTTTATTATTCAAATCATTTTTTAAATAAATTATTAATTAATATTTGAGTTTAATTGGAATATAATGACAGTGTAAAAAAGTTTTATACCGTCAATTTGTTAGATTATAAATTTTATTTTATTTTTATTTTAATTATTTATTAAATAATATTAATGGACGGTTGTGATATACTGAATGTATAAAAAGTTTTATATTACAGTACATAATAATTAATCTCTTAATATTTTATAAGAAATTTGTATTGAAATATTATTTTTTAAATAAATTATTAATTAATATTTTTTAAGAAATTTGTATTGAAATTAATTAACAAATCTTAAATATTAAAATGGAATTACTTAGACCCATCTCTAATAATAACAGATCTACCCGATGTAGAACTCTATGATTAACCAAACAAATTTAGTAAAACATCATAAATTTGACACAAAAACTCCATCTTCTCCCTTCTCTATACATGTCCACACAAACTACCATTAGAGAATCATTATCAACTTCCACCATCACCACAACCATACCATTGTTACTCACTTACCTTCATGTGTCTTCACTGGCTCATATCTATATGTGCTCTGTTTTATCAAAAAGCATAAATGAACCTATTTTAAAAAGTTAGTATGTGACTTTCAGCAAGAAACTTTTAAAAATTTTAAAAATTTAGTATCTGACTTTGTTGTGGTGTAATAATCAAACTTATAAGACTGTGGTTATGATATACTGAATTCACTTTTCTCTCTGAAGTGTGTCCTTCGGTTCAGAGGAGCCAATATAATTTCCAATATAGAAAACAAAACTCTTAAGTAAAATAAATTTGTGTACAATCACAACAATGGCTACAATCATGACTACAATTGCTTCTATATTGTAGAAAGCTAAAACCGATTAAGAATCAAGATATACCAGTAAATTCAAGATTATTTATAAATATGATAAAGATAGAACCAAAAATCTAAAGGCAACCTAAATAAAATCTCAAGAGATCACATGTTTTATTGATGAAGTTAATGACTAGATTTCATAAGCTTAGAGCAATCTAAAGAGTTTGTTATTGATTTCAAACTAAAGAGTTTGCCACTGTATATAATTGGGCTTATCAGATGAATCTGGATTCAATGTGTATAGAAGAAATAAGTAGTGGTTTAGTGTAAAAAAAAGGGCTGGAAATCAATTTAGAAGGAAATGGTAGTGGTTTTGTAATACAAGTCCCACATCGTCCGCATTCTATTTCATATGATCTTATATATCTCACTCACAAACATTTCACTGCAAAGTACAAATTTGTGAGCTGCATAAATGGGAAAAGATTTAACAAATTTGTTTTCAAAATAAATAAATTTATTTAATTTTGAATTTCAAAAAAAACTTTAAAAAATATTAATTAATAATTTATTTATAAAATGACTGATAATAAAAAGTTAATAACTATTGTACCACATCATCAAAAAGTGTCACCTATACAAAACAAATTATACATCAGTGTTTTTAAAAAAATAAATTAAAGATGAAAGATTAAAACTATTTAAAAATAAAATAGGAGAACTAATTTTAATATTCGAACATAATAAGAGGATTAAAAGTATAATTTAATTATTATAATATTATAAGTCTAAATATGAGTGAAAATATTACATGGGTGAGAAGGCTCACTAAATGACAAGGAATAATTATATCAATTGAAAAAGTACTAACATCTTCTGTATATTATATTAAGCCTTTACTATTATATTGACCAAACTTCTTAACGTGTCATTTCCTTAAAAATAGTTTATACTATTAATCTTACTTGATTAGAAGGGATCGTCAAGATTTATGAGTTTTGAATCGAGCAGTGATCGAATGTGAAGTGGAGAAGGTACCTGTAAGATACTCTGATGTCAACGTAAGATTTAGAGTAAGTGCAAGTAAAACGTCAGAGTATGGGTGAATGAATGAATACCCGACCCTCTCAAATGAGAGGGTATTTATAGCCTCCAGTGTTGGACCAAGGTCTTTATTGTTGGGCTAAATTGTCAAAGGGCCGAATTGAGACCTCCAAAGATATGCTTAAGCCAAACATCAAAAGTGGATGGCTCCAGAAGTTCTTCATGACGAGCCATCAAATGAGAAGTTTGATCTTTACAGCTTTGGGGTAATCATGTGGGAGCTTGCAACATTGCAAGAACCTTGGGGTAATTTGAATCTAGCACATGTTGGTTGTCTATCTGTGACACCTGTAATTGAAATATGCTTAATAATTTAGTATTATAAATCTATATTTATATTGCTTCAGCTTTTATAGAAGATTCACATGGTCTGAAATTTATGAAAGTAAGAATATACAGTATAGTATGAAATATTAGTAATACGGAATTACACAGTATATAATTGAAATCGAAAATGATTGCAAGAAATGTTCATTTTAGAGTTGGTCAATCAAGAGCCTGTTAGAGTTGTTTATCTCCTGCAACATAGTTGGATTGGGCCTTGTATGATGTTTGGGCCAAGTGCTGGTCCAGTCTAGAACAGGAGCCCTCCAAGTCGTTTCTCATGAGGAGAGGAGCTATGGCTTAAGACCAACTTTCCCGTATAGTGAGCATAGTTTTACTGAGGTCTCCTATCACGTCGAGGGACGGGGTCATTTTTATACGCGGCTACTCAGGGGGGAGATCAAAGTGTGTTGACGAAGAAAATTTATCTACTCCTCGACTCACGGGGAGACGAAAGTTTGCAGGATGTTCACTTCGTGAACCACATGGTATAACCTTTTGAATATAATGATGGCCTAGGGAGTAGGGGTCATTATAACCTTGAACGCGTGGATGGCGGAGAGACAAATAACTGACACGTTGTTCAACGCGACACTTCATCTTTTCTGCCAACTTTATAAATAGCGCCCAAGGGCTCATTTGTAACGTTTCTAAGTTCTTGCCTTCTCCTTTCTCCCTACTGTCCTCAGTTTTCTACCGCCTTTAGTTTCCTCCTCCAACCGTGAGCGTCGCCACAACTTCCACCGCAGAACCTCTACCAACCTTAATCAAGTAAGTGCTTTTTTATGCGATTACTCTTGTTTATAGCCGTGTTTTTGCATTTTATGGAAGTTTCTAGACAGGCTTCCCTGTAAACTTCATGGATTTCCCAACGAATTTCGCTATCCGTGGGATTTTTCCTTGATACATTCATATTTCTCTTCGTGATACTCATAAATTGGCTCGTGAAACTCATTTGATCCTCGCAGAGCTCATGAAATTTCCTAGAGAATGCATCTTATCCTTGCAATGTTCGTGGGATTTCCCGGGAGATTCATTTAATCCTCGACAGATCCATATTCTCCTTGCGGCGTTCACAAATTTGTTTGTTTTTACTACACGAGGGTTTGTCTACCTGGTTTGGTCGTAGCAACCCCCTTTCACTTGTGTTACGATGGAAGGGTGGATTTTATTTAGCTGTCGAATTCACTGGTTTCCTCTACTTTACAGGTGAAATGGTTGAACCAGTCGAGACATCTGAGCAGGTCGAGATAGAAGAAATGAGTGGAGCCGACGAGGGTGTCCACTTGATCGACACCGTCACCAATCCTTCATTGTCTTGGGTCAGGCCAGAGCCTCGAGGAATAGCCTCGTTCTTTAGCCATATAAGGAAGGAGGCGTACACCATCATCGAATATGGCGGCGACCAAGAGGGTTTCAGAAAAAAATTCATGATCTTTCACCCAACACCTACAGCCAGAATATGCTCGTCTTTCCCGGAATATCGTTTCCCCGTGTAAAATGTAACACCTCGATTTAATTAAGGTTATTTTTATTTAAAAATAATTAGATGAGGTGATGTATTTACGGTGATGTTATATTTTACAATGTGATGAGATGCTATTTGGGAAATTAGAGGTTGAATTGTTGGGGGGTGTTTAACTAATAGCGTAAAGAACATGGGGTGAATAGAGAATACGAGTGATGTTGGTTTTAATTATTATTACTATTATTATAGATAGGTAGTTATTTATAATATTAATGATTAATTAAATAATTAAAAATAAGAAGGGAAATTTGAGTTATTAGAAAATGAGAAGTGAGAACACGAGGAATAGAAGTCATTATCCCCAATTGATCGTAGAAGTGAGAAGCAGAAGAGAAGAGGAAGAACCTAGGGCTGAAGGGAGGACTACATTGGAGCAAGG